GGTATAATTGGTATATAATGATATAATTGTATAGTATTTTCGAGGGTATAATTTTCCCTGTATAATTACTGATGTATATTAGGCCACGTGTAAACTAATGTGTTCATTTATAGTTAGGAAAAGTTATTTTGTGTTATCTTACTAAAAGTTTATGTTTATTCCACAGTTTCAGTTTTGTTGAATATTATTTTAAACAAAACCAACTTAACTCCAAAACGCTACGAAACAGGCAAACGTACTCACAGATATTCCGACATAACATTACTGTGGTCCATTCTATCTTTCTCTCTAGAGATAATTCTCAGCCACACCATTGCCTAACTTAACCGACTACGAACAATAACTCATATCAGCATAGTATAAACTTTGCTACTGCTGTGAAATGCCAGCGTTGCATGTGTTTCTGTTATTATTAAAGTTGACAATTAGGAACTAGGTAACTTCCAAGTTATAGACGTGTAATTAAACGAGCCAGAGCAGTGGCTGCCAAATGAACCTAGATAGAGTAAACTTTCAGGGCATAAATGTAAGAGGTATGCCAAAATGTTTGCAAAGAGGACTTTTTTAATTTAATGTTAAAATACTAACAAGAAAAATCATTTTTTTTACTTTGTAACTGCTAAACCCGTAGAGAAAGAATTCTTATAGAAGTTTTTTGAAAAATATGCTTTAATTATAAACAATGATATGATTGTGGAAAGAATAGGTTTGATGGCGTCATATTCGCTAAAAATTACATACTATATAAAAATATACGTTAAAAAGTCCTTTTTAAAACCACTCAACTATTTTGAATTCTAAATACTGGTATTTGTACTTTTGTCGTGGGTTTTCTTCTTGAAACGTATCTGTCATATTATGTCGCCAATAAAACAGAAATCCAGAAAATATCCGTTTTTTGTAAACCGTTGACCTTTTAATAAACTAGAGACGTCAACGTTCTTAAATATTTTTCTTTGTTCTTTTTGTTTTTAGCTTCTGATGATCGGGGGAGATATACCCTTACAAGTTAAGCCATACAAGTTACATACGCCCTTAAAAGTTAAACAATTTTGCTGGTTAGGCAGATTTTGTTCATGAGTAAAAAACGACTGTCAATCAGGGTTCTATTTCGATTCTAAGAAATTACTCTTAATGAAAAAAATTACGTTATGTTTTTATTTGTTTTATTTTATTTATTCTACAACACTCAATAGTTTACGCCAATTACAGAGTGGGTAACACATAATAAATAATACATATTGTTACTGATTCCGTGGATCCACTAATTTAAACTCACGATAAAATACTTAACGAATTTATTTTCTCATTATATACACACAATTTATACTAATTACAACACACAATTTGTGCAACTACTATTACTCTAACTTTTCTGTCACCTTCACCAATTAATTCACAATTTTAACCAACCGTATTTTCAAAACTGGCCCAACTGCCGAGCGCGCCCTTTTTATATATCCAAGCGACTGTTTCTGGAAGGTTCGAAAATTATCGGTAATTTTCGATGCCCTTCTGCCTTTTCCCTGTAAATTCTGCTGCCTGGTTAGAACACGCTTTTCTACTTGGTTAAGAGATGGCGCATCAACAATGTCCTCAACCAGCAATACACGTTGCGGTTGTAGCTTCTCGCTTCTCTTCTCTTTTGATTTTTAAATGGCACCCTCGATATTTTGTTACTTTATTTGACAGAAAATGACACTCTGAATAGAATGACATATATGTCAACTTTTGACATTTTCAAATATGGTTTATTTTAATAATAATAATAATAATAATAATAATAATAATAATAATAAAGACTTTATTGCGAAATTAAAAAAATCACAAAAGGCGAAGTTGAAGCTTAGCTTCCTAACTTAACCCTAATTAGTAGACATAATTAATATATATTATATAAAAATATTATAATAAATCAATAATAATTATAATAGAAAACTAAAGGGTAGAATAACATAGTTAGAATATACCGAAAATCAATTAATTAAATATTTATACATGAAACATGAAATAATTGATAAGTATTTATATATGATAGATACACAAAGAGAATAATTCTATGAGTAAAAAAAAAGCAACCAATAATTAATCCCGTATTATAGATAATTATACAGAAAGTAATTAACAAGTAAGTACATAAATAAATAAATCAAAACAAACTAAAATGGAGGCATGACGGGAGATTATAAGATCTGAACATTCAAATTGAAGAATTAAATATTAACTGTCGTATAGAACTTTTAAATTTCAAATAAGAGTTAATTTTAAGATTTACAGAAATTCTATTATAAAGAATACATGCCTGATAACTGAAAGATCTCTCATACAGAGTTGTGCGATGTATAGGGGAGCGATATTAAACTTGTGACGCAAGTCCAGTGAATGTTCATCATACCTAAATTTAATTTTATCAAACAAATAACATGGACTTTTATTATTGATTATCTTATAAATTAGTAAGTATGAATGAAATTTTCTTCTCCCAGCCATGTTGAGCCAACCAATTTCCGCCATTTTATTTGTGATACCTGTATCATATTTTTTTATACTGCCTATCAAATGGATACAACAGTTCTGTAGTCGTTGAATGCGTTTAGCATCATGATCTAAAATACACGGTCCATATAGTGAGTCACAATAGGTAAATTGTGAAAGAACTAAGGTGTCACATAATTTCTTTTTGAGATTAGGATTTAAGATGTAACGTTGATTGTAGATCAGTTTTAAATTTATGAAGGCCTTTTTTATACATTTGTTAATATGTTCAGTAAACCTTAAGTGAGTATCCATAATCACACCAAGGTTCCTTGCAGATTTACAGCCATTCAACCTCTTTCCGTCCAAAGACACAGAAAACAATTTTTCATATTGGTCTCTAGCCTGTATTCTACCAAATAAAAGACCGTAACATTTATTGGGATTAATGTCTAAACAATGATTAGATGATGTCTTTAGAAGTTTACTAAGTTCACTAGAGAGGATGGCATTGGCTTCCAATATTTTTCCTGGTTGGAAAGACATATACACTTGCGTGTCGTCTGCATATAAGCGAAGCGACGTTGAATCTCTCAAACCCGAATCGAGCTGTGATGTATAGAGGATAAAGAATAATGGACCCAGAATTGATCCTTGTGGGACACCACAATTAATATGTCGAACACTAGACAGCGTGCCATTTAATCTTACAGATTGTGTCCTATCTGAGATAACTCTCGACAAGTTTCAATGCGCGACACTCAAGCCCAAGAAACTTTAATATTGCTAATAAGAGTTGATGATTCAACTTATCAAAAGCCCTCGAGTAATCCAAGAGAACCAAACCAGTGAGGTCACCCCGATCAGCAGCCTCCAGAATATCATCCGTTACCTTGAGTAATGCTGTTGTACAACTGTGGTTTTTCCGAAATCCCGACTGAATCGGAGGCAAGAGACTATGTTTATTTATGTATTCTCTCAGCTGGGATTCAAGAACCCTCTCAAATATCTTAGAGAGGGTTGGAAGGATACTTATTGGTCTTAGATCACTCATACTGGTGATACTGGATACTTTAGGCACAGGAAGTAGAAATGAATACTTCCAACCCAAAGGGAATGTGGAAGTTTCAATGCATGAATTGATAATATGCGCAATGTACGGAAGAATAACTGGATAACAATAAAGGAGCATGGTCAATCCAATACCATCGGTACCCACTGCTTCGGATTCGATCGATAAAAAAGCTGAGCGTACCTCGTCAACCGTAGCGATCCTGAACTCAAATGACGCATTTGTTTTCTTCCTGTTATGTAAGTAGAAATTCAAAGTATGAGGATCGGGAGTGGTAGGCCTAACGGAACTGATAAAGAATTCGCCAAGATCCTCAGCACTACCCACAGAATCAGGAATGTTTTTGGAATCATTGGAATAAACACCCAAGTTTCTCAGAAGCTTCCAATTATCTTTTGCACTGCGGTTACGTAAATTATACTCAAGAAAAGCCTTTTTTTCTCTTTGAATAGTAGCACTTGTAAAATTTCGAAGCTGCCTATAATACTCCCAATTCTGAAGTGTCTTTCTCTTTTTATATTTGCTTAATGCTCTGTTTCGAGTCTCCATCAAATATCTTATATTTTGTGTAATCCAAGGTGCCTTTTTTTCGTTATGCAGAGCTGTCCTGACTGGTGCATAAGAGTCAAATAAACTCACTATAAGGGCACTGAACACACTCACCTTAATATTAATGTCCTGAATATACAAAATATCCTGAAAAGGAGCGTTTAAAAGTTCTCTAAAAAAGTCTTCGCGATTAAAGTTCTTAAAGTCACGGTATGAGACAACATAGGGCTTAGGTTTAGATATAAATACCTTCAGTTCACATTTAATAAGAAAATGGTCGGAAACATCGAGGCTGGGATCAACATAACTGTTTAAAAACACGACTAGAATCAGAGCACACTATCAAATCTAAAAGCGTAGCCCCGGTATTGCCAAGTCTAGTAGGCTCGTTGATAGTCTGAGTCAAATTGAAGGATTGAAGAAGTGACATAAACCGCTGTGTATATATTGATTCAATTTTTAAAATATCTACATTAAAGTCACCAAGGCACAATAGATTATTACATATTAATAAGTTATTAGAAACATTGTGCTCGAATTCTTCCAAAAGTGGTCAAAATTAAGAAACCCTGGTGGTCTGTAAACTATGCCAAAAGTATTATTGAGATTATTTATTTTGCAATTAATCCACAATTGTTCCGAATAAACAGTTATCATATCACCAATAATAGCAAAATTAATAGAGTTACGTACATAAAATAAAATACCACCCCCTCTACCTTCCTCTCTGTCACGCCTTATTACTCTAAATCCATCAATGTCTATTATATTATCAGGTACAAGTTTTGTAAGCCAAGTTTCTGACATGGCTATAATATCAAACATACTCGAAATAATGTAATTTCTTATAACATGTATTTTAGGCAGAATTGATCTAACGTTAATGTGGGCAATTTTTAAATGATTACAAATTTTCACCATAATCAATTCTTTGTTTTAATACTGATAAATAATTTAAATATATGGGACAATCTTTACTTTTAACGGAGTGATCCACAGGTACAGTCTTTCTGAGTTTTTTATTATGATTTACACAATTAATAAAAACATCATTAATAGATTTACATGCATTAAACTTATGACCCTCGGTACACTTAGAACATGTTAATGTTCCCCTACACTCTTTTTCAACGTGACCATAACCGTAGCATTTGTAACATTGAATGATTCTCAAGTAATCCGATACATATGATTTTTTCCATCCTATGAATATAAATTGCTTTTCTAACATCATTTTTCGTATCATTGGGCTTACCTCAATAATTAAATTAATTTTATTAAAATACTTTAAGTGTGTGATTATTTTTATTTCAGACATCGCGGATTCCCCAATACCATTCAATGCCACAATATTCTTAATAACCTCTTCATTATTCGTATAGTCGCAAACTCTAACATCTTTAACAATTAATCTAGGTTTAAACATTTTTGGCACATTAATGTCGTATTTATTACCTAACTTTTCATTCAGACCATCTTTAATTTTCTTCAACGAGTCTTCACTGTCACAGTCAATAACGACGCCCCCTCGTATCTTCTTGGTTCCATTAATACGGGCCTCGACGCTCGCTGGATTTAAAGTTTTCGTCACCTCCTCGTACACAGCATCAATTGGCACAGTTTGGTTTTGGTTTTTTATGACGAGAATTGATTTTACACTTTTTTGCGTTTTAGCCACTTCACTGTATGAATTCCTAGGCTGATTCGGCGATGATAGTCCACTCGACTTATCGACAACACGATTTTGGTAGGTTGAAATCAGCGCCTTTTGCGTTTCATTTGAATATTTCAACTCTGATATTAAATTATTTAACAGTTCCTTCTCACGGTTAAGACATTCAACTTCCTTACGTAATGTTTCACACTCATTTGGAACTAGATTTTCGTCTATAACTTTGTTTGATCGCCAAAGATTTTTACAGTGATCACAAAACCAGAACAAAGATGAATTTTCAGTTAAAAATTTATACCATGAGTCTCGTATATTTACACAGCTTGGATGATAACACTTTTTACAAAAATCGCACTTTATGCACTTGGCTGAAACAATAAAATTGTCGGAGCAGACGCCGCACACCTCTACGTCGCCCGCCATCTCGATCTATCTACATTTTAAATTGCAACATACGATTCATAACGACAATTTGACTCAAATACCAAGTGTGTGATACCAAATTATTCGTAAAAAAATGCTTTTTCTACATATGCTAATGAGCCACGAGGATGGCTCATTAGAGTGAACGAGGGTCCCATTTGAAAAAATTGAAATAAGACTCCTTGATTAAAAATTACCATTTTTAACACAGCTATGACACCCTAGATTGAAATTTAAAATGCAATATTGTTTTGAGCGAAAATGTCACAAGTTAACATATGATATGTCATATTCAGAGTGTCAATTTATATCAAATAAAGTCAAAAAATAATAGTCGTTTCCGGTAAAACAGGAAGTGGCTGAAAAGAATTGAATACGTCAATCAATCCTAATTTATGCAGTGGCGGCTCGTGGATAGAAAATTAGGTGAAGAGGTAATTTTCGAAATTGTGCCGCAGGCGAAAATTTTTTTGGGTATTCACCATTTTGTCAACATTTTTTAAAATATTATTTGGAAAATTTTTGCTGCATTCACTATTTTGTCAACATTTTTTTGGTATTATTTTTATACACTAATACCTACTTATAATATTTTCGTTTTAGTTTGGCTAAAACGCATTAAGTAAAAAGAGATACAACCAGTTTTCGATAAACACATTATTTTGTATTCCAGTGAAAATATAATTAAATTTAAATTAAATATAATAAACATTATAATACAGTGTCCACCATAAAGTTGGATCCACATGGACGTTTTTTATTAAATCTTTTTGTGGCAATCACTTCTGCTTTAAAAACAACTTAAAATGCACCAAGTCAAAGTTGACAGCTAACATCTGGGAGCTGTCAAATACAAAATATTTAAAAGAAATTTTTAAAAATTGGTTAAATTATTATTATTTAAAAAAAGGTGACTAACAAAATTATGTTTCAACTTTGACTTGGTGCATTTTAAGTTGTTTTTAAAGCAGAATTGATTGCTACAAAAAGTTTGTTTAAACTCTAATACCAAAAAAAAAACCGTCCATATTGATCCAATTATATTAACCGACATTTTTTTCAAAATAGAGATTTCAGTGAAATAAGGTTGTAATTCTCATAGGTTTTTCACTGAAATTTCGATATTGAAAAAATTGTTGGTTACAACCGAGGAGCCATTCAATTATAATTCAATTATTACATTAATTATTATTACATTAATGTTTACTAAGTAATATTAACCAAAATAAATTTGACTTCTTGAGTAATATAAACAATTTTTGTATCAGCTCAATTTTTCTGTTTTTTTATTGATGCAAACTTATCAGTAATATCGTCATTTAATTAATTAGTTATATTCACACACACACACATTAAAGTCTATTTAAACCAACATTTCCATTAAAATTTAGCTTCTAGAGTCTAGCGTTTTTTTTTCTCTAAAGCATCGACTATTGTATTTTGATTTTTTTTTTATTTTTTTAGCATTAAATGACATCAGATATTTTAAATGTTCTGCAGAATCCCCCTGTTTATGCCAAGATCTTGTTATATTTACGAAATCAGTGAACCCTTCTTTATTTCAAATGCCATGTTAATTAGAAAATAGTAAGCACTACCAACAAAATAATTTTTGTAAAACAATGCTACTCCATAGCCAATTAAAACCAGAAAACCAGGAAGACTTAAATTTAATATTATAAGATTTACCACTTTTCCTTATTTCTTTTTTGCAATTTATGGTTAAAGTTTCAGTTGGTCGCACTTGAGATAAAACATCCCTCTTATCTTCATCTGTCCGCACACACACACACACACACACACAAAACAGTTTTAAAACACAACAACAAAACACACATCCAAAATTAACAAGTTAAATCAACAACAACTTTACAGTCTTTACACGGTTAATTACTCGGGGAAGTAGCCGACGACGCGACGCCGTCACGCATTTCCTGAACAATTAAGTTGAAGGAAGACGAAGAGAACTGCCCACAAACTCATTCAGTCGGTCACCGATAATAAATTTCGGGGCGGGGGGATTTACATCTGCCGCCAGGCTGACGTCACGTTACCATTACCATTTTATTATTTAGATACATGTAAATATATTAAACTAAATAATTATTTTAAGCAGTAAAGTTTTTTCTTTAATTTGAGTATGTTCTACTGCACCTGACGAGCCGCCACTGAATTTATGTCATACACTAACATACCAAATCTCGTTTTTTTATCTGAAAAAATAAAAAAGTTATAGGGGGTGAGCCACTTATGAGTCGCACCCGGTATATTAATTGGATTCATAAATTAATATTATTGGTAAGATAATCAATCCAATTACGCCAGTGCCATAAAGTGTTGAAAAAGAACGAAAGAACTATATATTTCTTTTCCTGGTTCCTTAAGTAATTGTCCGATCAAATTATCGTCGGTAATACCAGTTACGATTCTTATTTCTATGAAACGTAAATTGTGCATGTGGTTCGTTTAAATGAACGAATCGAAGGAGTCGATTTTATTTATATTTTATTTTAATTCGTATTTTATTTTGTAGATTTTCTTACAGTGCAAGTGGCGAAATACCCAGAAGACTTTTTTTGGAGAAACTACATTTGTTATTTAGTAAGTATCTGATATGGTAATTATATTATTGCTTCATCTGTGATCGGAGTCTAATTTATCATACTTTAAGTCTTAAAAACTTCCTTTTTTCAATCCTCTTATTTCATTGTAGATACACCACTGACATTCGCTGTTATACTGGTTACAGCAGAAATCATAAATTTACGAGACAAATTTTAATGAAATATAAGGCAAATTCAAATAATCCATTTAGGTATATTCCATTTCCGGGTGCTCAGCATAATTTTGGACAGCAATCATTGGGGAATTTGCGGGCACATTACGAGCATTCTCAATAAAATATCTGGCATTTTTGCCTGTCTCTGTTACATTGACTTTTTTATTATAAACTTTAGATTTACGCTAGCATTGTTTCACAGATTATCTGTGCCATTTTAATTCGGGTTTTGCTAACAATAGAATTGGGCGATTTAATCACTAGTACTGTTGGTTTATAATCAATATTTTTATAATTGGCAATAGAACACAAAAGGTATTGTTTCGTTACCAATACACAGATTTTTGTTAACAAAATTGATAAAAATATATTTTTACTTCTCAGTTCATATTAAAAATAAATAAAAAATATTTTTTCAATGACTGGCTATGTAAAACGTTAAAAACGTACGCCAAAGTCAATCTGAAAGTGACGTTTTTCACACACCGTGCGCAAATTTTGTAGTGTGCAAACTTTGCGCATGCTTACCTTAAAGGTGAAAGTTCTGTTAATAATTGGTATCTAAAGTTGTCGCCGCGTAACCAGAGACAACAACATTGCCAACATTGTCTCTGGCGGCGTAACGTATTTGTCAGTGTCATATTGTTTGAAAAGTAATTCAACTTAAATAATAATTAATTAATTATTAATTTCCGTTAATTTTTTCCCTTAATCTTCGGGCAATGGAGCACACAATTGAATCTACCGATCCTTTCGAATTGACGCAGTAAGCCGCAAATATATCGTTGAGTCTATTACCTGAAAAATTTCGGGAACGTTATGAAACTGCATATAACAAGTTTAGGGGTTTGGAGAGACAACAAAAATATTAAATCCCTTTCTGAAAATGTGGCGCTAGTCTATTTTGAAGAAATTTCGAAGATATATAAGTCGTCCACTCTGGTCCGAATACTCAATGTTGAAAAGTACGCTGAAGATAAAACACAACGTCGATTTGGGTAATTATATGAAATTAGTTGCTTTCCTAAAGCGAAAATCAGAAAATTATGTTCTAAAGAAGTCCAACATTCTCAGTGAAAAGGATTTTTATCGGTTCTTATCTACTGCTCCAGACAATAAATATTTGCGTTAGCCAATAAACCGTCACACCCGTGTGCAAAGAGCCTTTTTCAAAACTTATTACACAATATACTATTAATGAATTTTAATACTTGGTGACAAGTATTTTAAATGCTACCCTTTATTCTATGTGTTTCAGACTAAATATACGAAATTCTTTAAGATGAGTCTTCAGTGTCCCCTTTTTAACAATAAAAGCTACTTTGTTTTACAGGCGGCGCCGATGCCGGCAGTACAAAAGTTATATATTTAGGAGATATTGCTGTATATGAAGGGTTAGGAGATACTGCTGTACATGAAGGGTGGAAAATAATGATTTTATTTTATATTGTTTATTATTTAATCCACCACTTTCGTATTTTTACTGAAATAGACTACCTCTATTATTCGTGTTATGGCGCGTTCTCACGACTCGTGTACTTGACAAACATTTGTAATTGGTATAAAGAGTATACATGGTGCGTCGGGCATCTATACAAAATTTCTGAGATATTTATTATAGGAACTACGCCGCATTCCCGCTAGACCCTGTATGCCAATTAAAAATACTTGCTAAGTAGACGAGTCGTGAGAATGCGCCTTTACGATTGTTAATCAAATGGCAGTCAATGCCTTGGAGAAAAATAAAAAAAAGTTGGAAGTTTTTACCTCCTTCTTGCAAAGAACACATTTAAAAAATGATTAACACAATCCGGCTATAGATCTTGTGTATAAAATTAGTTAAAAATTATTTTTTAACTAATTGAGAATCTCAAAAAAAAAATATTAACCACTCAATGAGTGACAGCGGCTCCCCCCTCCCCCTCAGTAGATTAATTTTCTAAAAAAAAATCTTCTTCGACACATTAACAGGTGATTTACATTAATGAGTTAGTTACATGACACATACACAATGAGTAAATTACACAGAAGATAAAAAATAATTACTAGTAAAATATGTTTTCTTCTAAGTGGTTACCTTACTAATTACTTAGTGGTTACCTTAGTGGTTACCTTAGTAATTAGTTACCTTAGTCTTATCTTAGTCTTAAGTGGTTACCAATAATAGAATAATGGATGTAGCCAATTGACACATCCAATCATTTAAAAAAAGTGATAGAAA